TTACATATATATACAAGGGTATTTTAGTAATTTCACATATCTCGAGCCGCTCGCGAGCCGCTCGACAATGCAATATATGGGCTCGAGCTCGACTCGAGTTCGTGCTCGAGCTCGACTCGAGATCGGTCAAACTTGAGCTCGAGCCGAGCTTTGACTCGAGCGCTCGCGAGCTGCTCGACTCGTTTGCAGCCCTAGTTGGTACAAGAGAATAATTAAGTTGTGTTCTTTTTTTTTAAATGATTTCTTAGATTGTTGTCCTTTTTTTTCGTAAATTTGTTGAATTTTAGGTAATACCAAGCCAACACCACAAACTACTCAATCGTGAAGTTGTATATGGACGAAATTGAAGGGCTATCGGATGAGTATGACATTGACCATTCAGCTGCACATGTAACTCATATGTTGAGACCTCGTGCTATATTTGTTTATTGCAACATAATAGAAGTCCAAACAATGTATTCATAACATTCTGTTTCAAATGGCCAACATGAGGAGCCTGATATTCAGCTATTTACACCAAGCACCAAGGCATGACTAGAAGAATATGGAAGCGCCGCCATGAACATTAATATACCAGATCCCTCAAGGACAAACGCAACACGCGTGTTGCCGTTTGGATGGCACTGCTACTTCCTCCTCCAATCCTCCAATAGACAACACCTCCGCCCATGCATCATGCAGCGACACTGGCAGTTCGAGCACTTCAACGGTCCCATCCACCCCATGAAGAAGCCTCACAACTAATTGCTGAAATTGTACATACTTTTGATGAAAAATGTGTTTTAGTTGTGTTGTGAGCTATGCATCGTGCACGCCTATTAGAGATTACTTTTGCATTGCGTTGTTAGCCGACTTTTGTGGACATTCTAGGTTGCCTTATACAACTCTGACTACCACATGATTTTGGGGACAAGTGATGAACAGCGAAACAGAGAATACGAGGAGAACGACGCACTTTGGCAAAACAGAACACGTTAGGGCATTTTCTCCTTTCAGACAAGTACAAAAATATGTATACATACTGGGCCATTGGGCCACTTTTTATCATAACCTAATAAAACATAGGGTATAAAAATTGGCAATTTTATGGTACACCTAAAAAATAAATTGAGGAATGTGAATGGTTTAGAGTATAAATTATTTTGAGAAATTTGTTTGAATGAGTCAAAAAGAGTGGTAAAAATATTGTTGATAAAAAAAAATATTCGTGAAAAACATTTTGAACAAACAAAAAAATATGTGAGATTTTGGTTGCTCCATCAAATGTGGGTAAGTGTGTTTTAAAATTTTTACAAATACTAGATATAATTATAGACTGAACTAGGGTCGGCTGTGCGTGCACAGCCGAGTCCAATCTAGTATTATTTATATAAAAATAAATATAGTCGGTTCCCCTGTGGATTCGGAATCCGGTCCCTGTACCAAAAAAAAAATATAAGAATTAATCAAATAAAAAAAGGTCACAGATGAAAAGTAACGTGCCACATTTGTGCCTTTGGGGTCACATTGATAATACGAAGAGTCTTGTGGTGCCTTTCAGTCTCCCCTGTGCCGGCACCCTCTAAGAGAGAGAGAGAGAGAGAGAGAGAGAGAGAGAGAGAGGCCACTCGAGCTTCATCAGTCCTACTCCGGTTAACCCCTGCTCAATTCCAACCATCTCGAAGTCCATCACGCGCTCTCGCCATGACGCCGGCGAAAAATTCAAAGGAAACGACGGCGGCAGCGGAGGCGGCGGACCTGGCCAGTGAGTACGAAGCTCCCTTCGCCATCCACTCCCGGGACGAGGGAGATCGGTTCGAATCCCTCGCCTCCCGCGGTTTCACCCCTCCTCGTTACCTCGACTTCGACCTCGTACCGCTGAGTGTCGTCACCGCCGTCCGCGGCTACTGCCGCAAGCTCGGCTGGGACAAGTTCGTCCTGACGAGGCACAACGGGTACAAGGAGCTCATGCTGGAGTTCTACACCACGCTGGACCTCGACGCCAGCGGCGAGGAGCTCCGCTGCAG